TTGATGTAATCACTGATAGGTATTTTTTTCTCTGATTTTGCTTACTTCACTTTGCAGATTATTTTTCGCATGCTTCCCTAAATTCTTCATATTTATTATTTCTTCCAGCACAGTAATATTCCATTAAATTCATGTACCACCAACTAACCGCTCCCCAATCAATAGCCACCTACTTTATTTCCGTTTCTTCGCTACAAAAAAGAAAAAAGGTCCCATCAATATTTTGGTATATGCCTAGCAGTGGGATCTCTGGGCCAAAATTCGTGGATATTTTCGTCGGTCCTTCAGCATAATTCCACATTGTTTCCAGAACGGTTGAACCAATTCAAAGCTCCACCCCCACTCTATTAGTGAGCCTGTCTCTCTGCAGCAACTTCAACATTGACAACTTCCATCTTTTGTCATCTTTGCCAGTTCAGCCAGAGTTTTGTAGAATATAATGTGTGCACTTGTGCCCATTTAAATCTCCCTAGAGGACGTGATAGGGACAAAGAAACCAAGGTCATAAGCATCCAGTCCACCCACATTGTCTTGGAAGCTCATAGGAGAGTGCCCCATCTAAAGCGGTACCTGATGCCATGACAGTAGCTCTGGGCAGGGGCTGGTTCCAGGGACTGGATGAGACGTGAGGGGCTGGCATGAGATAAGCCAGTGGGAGGGGATGATATCTCTGGGCTGCCTGAGGTTAGCGTGTCTGCAACTGTATAGAGGACAGAGGGTAAACAAGCAGTCGGAATCTTGTAGCCGGGAGGTTGTGCCGGGCATCGGCGCAAAGCAGAGCTGAGGGAAGAAACCAAAATAGATTCAAATGAAGAGCAAAGTCTGGCTCACCCTCTGCCTCTCTCCAAAGACAGGTGGTGCTCCCCTACCCCTCCCTCCACACGTGTGCACACCCATGCATACACACAGGCAGAGACTCATGTGTTGTGTACACACGTGTCTGCCCTGGAGCAACAGCTCCTGAGAATTCTCGGAGATGGGAGGTCTGCCCGGTTCCCGAAAGTGGGTCAGGAGGGATTCACATTGTAAACATAGGCACGTACTTGCTGAGATAAGCTGTCTCCTGTCAGCTCTCCCTAACCAGGTTTGTGGGACTTTGGGGTTCAGAGGATCGATCGGCATCCAGCTTGGAGATCAGCAGGAGGGGTTTGTGTCTATTTCCCCAGGGTTCATCAGGCTCAGACTTTTCCTGTGGGGACCTGTCTTCATGCTCATTTCTATGCCCGGCTAGGCAAAACCCAAACTAGACAGCCAAAGGGGTAAAGGGTTAGAGGCAGTCCGTCAGCCTGACTCCTGAGTGCGGGCAGCAGAGGGCAATGACTCTGGTACAGGATTTGGAGTTAAGAGGCCCTGCCTGGGTCAGATTCTTCCTTGAGGGCTTTACCTGTGTGGCCTTGAGCAAGTGACTTCTGCACCCAAGCTACTTCTTTCTAATAGGGGGGCAGGAAGGGTGGGGGTGGGGAATGGAAGGGATAGATAGTTGGAAGACATATACAATTAAAAGAAGGGAGTTAGACTAGATGATCTCTGAGGTCCTTTCCAGGTCTAAATCGTTAATCCTATTTAAAAAAATCATCTCCCAGGCCTTGCTTTCTACCTAAAATGAGGGCGTTTAGACCAAACAATCCGTGTAAAGTAGCTTCCAGCTCGAGATCTCATGATCCTTCCATTGTCCGTGAAGGAAATCAGATTAAAAGAGGAGAGGGAGCATGGCTTGGAGTCCGCTGAGTTCTTTAGCAGGGAAGTAGGTCACAATTACTCAGATTAAGTAGTGAGTTCCCCATCTCTGGAAGTATTCAAGCTGAAACTTTGTAAGGAATATCAAAGTGGTTAGGAATTGAGATCGGATGAGCGTTTTACACGCCGTGGGCCAGCATCCCCCAAACTGTCTGCTCTGTGAACCGTGTTGCACTGCGCTGTCTCTGAGGAGCTTGGAGAGGCTCAAAGCACAGGGCACAGGAAACAGGATGCAGGGAGGAGGAGGCGGTTTTTAAAACTTGAATGTCTTAAGAAGCAAAAACCACTGGTAGTCTTACAAAGTCTTACAAACCCGTCAAAATGGGCTTCCTTCCTACGTGCCTTTCCCCTCTCCCCAGTTACAACAAGGATAGGGCTGTCCAGTAATTTCTGTTGCACCCTTTGTTCTGAGCGGGTGAGTGGGAGGTGGGGAGGAGGAGGGTCCTGGGGAATGACAATTCTGTATGAAGTTTGGAAACCAGACCAGAAACGAGCCTTGGTTAAATGGCATATTAGGACGGTCAATTGGAGTTGGAGTCAGAAGACCTGGGTTCCAATTCCATCCCTCCTGCTTTGATCTTGGGCAAATCACTTCCTGTCTTTGGGCCTTAGTCTTTCCATCTGTAAAATGGAAGGGATGGGCTAGGTGATCGCTAAGGTGCTTTCTGGTTCTAAATGTTGTGATTTCCCTGCTGGCTCTGGTCTTCAACCTGGAGGCCTCGGCTGGTCTCTGTATGGAGGACAGAAAGCTGTTATCGCTCCTGAGGGGGACACAGAGGAGGGGGAGGAGGAGGAGGAAGAGGAGGCCTGGCTTTTCTGATGGGGTGTGACTTGCTGTTCTCAGAGGCCAAACAAAGAGACCCCAGACAAAGAGACCCTGCAGGGCTGTTGTCGGCCCTATGAGGCCCTTTTGTGGGACTGATGGGGGAGGCCATTGAGTAGGAGGCTGGGAGCTTGTCCCTCACAGCTTGGCTCGGAGACTGCTTCTGCTCTGGGGGCAGTGAAAAGGGAGTCAGGGGTCTGGAAGCAATGGCTGATCCCCCAGGGGTCTGAGGAACAATGATGCTGTATTAGGGCAGTCTACACACACCAATAACCAGAAACAACTCTGGGTGGGATGGAGCTTTTGTCACAAGCCTGAAATTCTCAGCCCCATTTCCCTGGGTACCAGACATACCATTGTAAGATGTCTCTGGCACCGCCCCCATTAGTATTTCACAGGAGTTAAAATAATCCTAACTCCCCTTTCTATTGCCCTTCACAGTTTATAAAGTGCTTTATAGACAACTGTATGAGGGCAGCAGTATTTATTATCTCTACTTTACAGATGAGGAAACTGAGGCTCAGAGGGATAAAGTCACAAAGTTAATAAGTGATAGACCTGGAATTCAAAACCAAGTCATAATAATAGAGCTGGGAAAGAACTCAAAAGTTATCTAGTCTTATTTTCTGATTTTACAGAAAAATAAACAAAGGCTTAGGGAGGTCTATACCATACTGTCTCTCTGGGAATATCCAAGTATCTGGACCCTGCCCAAGAAGAGAACCCTTAAGGAAAGTAGGCACCCCCAGATCATCCTGTATGGATGCCCAGCTAGATATGTGCCTCAGATTTGGGCAGATGTGTCTCCTTTCTGCTGCTCTAGCGATAAACAATGAGATAGTCCAAGAGGAAGGTAGACCGGTAATCTGTGGTCAGCTAATCCCTCCTCCCTGCTGAGAAGCATGTACTCAGGAGTGTGCCAGAGTCAACTAGGACCAGCACAAACCCATTGTTAAATTTCTAGTGTGAGCGTTTATGCCTCAGAAACTAGCAAATACTACAAATCAAAGCTCGATTTATTGTTTCGTTGTGTTATGTTAATAATGTTAATTAAGCTTTAAAATGTGTCACGAATACATTTTTTTCCAGAGAGCTAGTTGTTAAACATTTACCAGCACACCCCTGCATGTATCCCAGTACAGAGTAATTAAGGGTTTGTCTAATAGCTCACTCCTAGGACAAACCATTCATCTTATCCCTGAGTGAGGGCCTAAGCCTCTGCCAGTCCCCCCAGCTGGCCTCTCAAAGGACCAAGGAGCAGCCAGAACATAAACACAAGCTTCTCTCTCTCTCTTTCTCTTTCCCTCTCTCTCAAATGGAAAGACCCTTGTTGCCCCCTAGTGGCTGGTTTGTAATAAGGTCTTTGTCCCTGCTTCCCCAGGACAGGGGCCAAAGAGTCGTTTTGTTTCAAGACCCACCAGGACCCCACTCTCACCTTAGGCTCAAATTTGTGGCAAGGTCTGAGCGCACAGTAGGGCGTCTTCCTTGGTTCCAAACCAAGCAGCCTGGATGGATGACTTTGACCCTGGTCCCTCCAAACCCCAGTCTGTCGTGTGTGGCTAGTTGTATTGCTGAAGTGACATACAAAATTAAGCACACGTGGTATCCCCAAAAGTACAAAAACATGCACACAGTGGAATAAATCCCCCTTCAAATATACAAAGAGCACTGAAGTGCCACTCATATATAGTGGTACATATACCCCACCCTATGTTTCTATAGTGGGTAGGTAGGTGGCACAGTGGATAGAGCACTGGGCTTGGAAACAGGAAGACTCATCTTTCTGAGTTCACATCTGGCCTCAGACACTTAGACTAGCTGTGTGACCCTCGGTGAGTCACTTAACCCTGTTTACCTCAGTTTCCTCATCTGTAAAATGAACTGGAGAAGGAAGTAGCAAACCACTCTAGTATCTTTGCCGTGAAAATCCCAAACGGGGTCACAAAGAGTCAGACAGGACTGAAAGGACTGAGCGGAATACTTCCCTATCAACATCAGCATACGCTGTCTGCCACTTTCTCTCCAACACATATGGTGTAGCTAGGAAAGGATGAGGATGGGGCCAAGGACTTTTAGAGCTGTGGGCCAAAGATTTAGAGCTGGAGGAGACCTCAGATGCCATCTAGCCCAACCCCTTAATTTTACAAATGAAGAAATTGAGGCCCAGAGTGACTAGTGACTTGACCAAGGTTACACAGGTAGTGTCTGAGGCAGAATTTGAACCCAGGCTTTGAGACTCTAAAACCATTGCTCTTGCCACTGTTGCTCTGAGTTCTTGGGAGGGAATAGGTGTTCTGTTCTATTGATCTCTGCCCCCTTGCCTTCCCACGGTCATCTTTCTTCAGCCCACTGAGGGCTAGGAGCGGGTCAAGCTTCCACTTACCGTCGGCCGCCCCCCTCCAGCCTCAGTTTGATCTCTCTCTTGCTCTCCTCCATGCAGGGAGAAGATGAGTGGGGGCTGCCCAGAGCAGGAGCCCCCCCGTGCACTGGCCTGCTGCAGTGGTGTGCCCCTCCTCACGGAGGACATGCAGGCCCTTACCATCCGCACACTCTCAGGCACGGATGTCAGCAAGCACTATGACCTCATCCGGGAGCTGGGCAAGGGCACTTACGGCAAGGTGGACCTGGTGTCCCACAAGAGCACAGGTGGGTGACAGGATGGCCTGAGTCCCTAGATGGGGTGTACCCATTGTTGCTGCATGTCCACAGAAGCATTAGGGCACATACCTCCACTTGTGCTTTCGGATATAGATTATACATCTCTACACACACAGACATGTAGCCTGTGTACCTGAACAGGCATGCAGATGTACATGTGTGCCAGCACACACGCAGATGTGGGGGGACATATTTTGGTGTGGGTTAGAACCCACCTATGTAGCCTGCGTGTGCCCATGGAGGTAGGAGACTATCTCTAGTAAGAGCATCACCCAGTAGAGATCCGAAGGCACACACATGCACGCACCCTCACAGCCTTATCTCACTCACAGGGACCAAGATGGCTCTGAAGTTTGTGAATAAAAGCAAGACAAAATTGAAGAATTTCCTTCGGGAGGTCAGCATCACCAATACACTCTCCTCCAGCCCTTTCATCATCAAGGTCTTCGATGTGGTGTTTGAGACCGAGGACTGCTACGTCTTCGCGCAGGAGTACGCGCCCGGCGGGGACCTCTTCGACATCATCCCGCCCCAGGTATCCCCCCACGGCCCGGCCTGTGGCCTCTTCCCCCTGGAGCCAACATCATCTGTTCCTCCTTCCATTTTCCCATCTCTCCTCCCAACCTCCACAAGGAAAGCCTGGAGATCTAGGGTCTGGGAACTTAGTTGGAGCCTGACCCCTGGGAAAGGGACTGGAGAATGGAAGAATGCCTCATTTCTTTGTGGGCTCTTCACTTCCTCTTCCTCATAGGGGAACCAGAGTCCTGACCCATAGGCTGACCTATGGGACCCTAGTCAGTAATAATGATGATGATAGCATCTATATGGTGCTTTAAGGTGTGCAGGGTGCTTTATGTATATCATTTGATCCTCACAAGAACCCTATGAGGTAGGTGTTGTTATTTTCCCCATTTTACAGATGAGGAAACCAAGGCTGAGAGGTTGAGCGATTGCCTGAGATCACACAGCTAGTGAGTGTCTGAAGGACCAGGTCTAAAATCCCAGAGGATATAGAGACAAGAAAAACCAGGGCAGAAAATCCTCCTCTCCTCCAGAAGCCAATCCTAGCCAAGCATAGAGCAGAGGAAAACAGGCTTAGAAGGTCCAACAGGAGAAAGGGGGATTCAAAAAACTTGAATTAAAATAAAGATCAGCTCTTTCTACAGAGTAGGACCCAGGGGGTATAATTAGGGTTAGCGACAAGGAGTCCTCCACCCCCTGGTTAAGGAGTAGGGCAGAACCAGACTCCAGTTCAAAGTTGCTGTCAATAGGATATGGAGAGGTCAATCTGTCCATCCCCCTGCCTCCATGCAGGCCAACACCCAAATCTATCTAGGCAGAAGGACCATCTTAATATGGCAGAGGACAAGTTTCAACAGCTGCAGTCAAGTCAACGTGATTCCCCAAGCCTAGAGGGCTACCCTACCAATTCCACTGACTCCATTATTGCCTGCTCTGCCAGCCTTGGCAGGGAAGAGAGGAGTCGGGGAAGGAGGTAGAATCATGCCTCATAAAGTGTTAGTTCTAGAAGTAGATCTTGAGAATGGTCTGATACACGCCTCTCCTTTTACAAAAGAAGAAACTGAAACTCCAAGGTTAGATGACTTGCCCAAGGTCACCCAGCTAGGACATGGCAAAGCTGAGAGCACGACCCTGGACTCTTGACTCCAGGTCCCAAGTTTTTCCACTGCACTTTGCTGCCTCCAGGAGTGTTGACGGTAACAGCAGCCCTTCACATCTCTGTGGCCCTTTCTTCTTTCCAAAGCACCTTCATACCCCTTCTATCTCTGCCCCCACACACTCCTGTGAGGTAGATATTTTTATCCCCATTTGCAAAAGGGAAATGGAGGCCTAGGAGAATTTCAGTGGTTGAAGATAAAGCAGAGGTAGTGGTGGATTAGAACATGGGTCTCTGAACCCTTCATGAAAGGTCACTTAGCTACTAAGTAAAAGAGCCAGGTTGAGGGCATCTAGGTGGCACAGTGGATAGAGCACCAGCCCTGAAGTCAGGAGGACCTGAATTCAAATCCAGCCTCAGACCAAACACTTGACACTTACTAGCTGTGTGACCCTGGGCAAGTCACTTAACCCCAATTGCCTCGCAAAAAAAAAAAAAAGAAAAAGAAAAAGAAAAGAGCCAGGTTGTACTATCCCCAATTCAAGGCATTGGGCATATCTCATTGCTTAGCCCAGGGTCAGTTCAGTTAAACAAAGAGACTTTGTTGTTGTTGTTGTTTTTGAGTCATTACTCTTCGTGACCCCATTTAGGATTTTCTTGGCAAAGATACTGGAGTGGTTTGCCATTTCCTTATCCAGCTCATTTTACAGATGAAGAAACTGTTAAGTGACTTGCCCAGGGTCACACAGCTACTAAGTGTCTGAAGGCCATATTTGAACTCGGGATGATGAGTCTTCCTGACTTCAGGCCTGACGCTCCGTGCACCATGAAGCCACCTAGCGGCCCATAAACAGAGACAGCATGGAGTGCAAATCCCAGCTCAGCCGCTGGTTGAATTTGAGCAAGTCACTTCTCAGCCTCAGTTTCTTCATCTGTAAAATGAGGAGGCAAGATGAGGTCACCCAAGGAACCCTCAGCTCAAAACCTCTTACTAAGCACCTACTAGGCACAGGGCGTGGTTCTAGGCGTTAGAGGTACAAATACAGAAGTGAAACAAGCCCTGCTCTGAAAGAGGTGAGTGGAAGGAGGGCAAACCCGCCAGCAAAGGAGAGGTCCAGACAGAGTGTTTGAAGGGGCAGAGAGAACTTGTACCGGAAGGGAGGCGGGAGAAGCCTTCCTGGTGTGCTCCTGGGCCGGGCCTTCTGATCCCTTTGTCCTCTGCCTCAGGTGGGGCTGCCCGAGGACACAGTGAAGAGGTGCGTGCAGCAGCTGGGCCTGGCCTTGGATTACATGCACGGACGGCACCTCGTGCACCGGGACGTCAAGCCTGAGAATGTGCTGCTCTTTGACCGTGACTGCCGCCGGGTGAAGCTGGCCGACTTCGGCATGACCCGCAGGGTGGGCTGCCGCGTAAAGCGGGTCAGCGGCACCATCCCCTACACGGCCCCCGAGGTGTGCCAGGCAGGCAGGGCCGAGGGCTTCGCCGTCGACACCGGCGTCGACGTCTGGGCCTTTGGCGTCCTCATCTTCTGTGTCCTCACGGGCAATTTTCCCTGGGAAGCCGCCTCGGGGACGGATGCCTTCTTTGAGGAGTTCGTGCGGTGGCAGAAGGGGAGGCTGCCGGGCCTGCCTTCCCAGTGGCGGCGGTTCACCGAACCAGCCCTGCGGATGTTCCAGCGGCTGCTAGCCCTGGACCCCGAGAGGCGGGGACCCGCCAAGGAAGTCTTCCGCTTCCTCAAACACGAGCTCACCTCAGAGCTCCGCCGTCGGCCTTCTTGCCGGGCCCGCAAGCCTGCTGGTGACCGCCTGCCCGCCGGGGCACACCGCCAGGAGGCCCCAGCACCGCTCAAGAGGACGGTGCTGACCGAGAGCAGTGGGACCAGGTCCTCCCCTCCTACCCCTCCTGAATCTGGCCTCACCTCACCAGGGCCGGCCAGCAGGACGGATGGGCGGCAGGACAAGAGCAAGGGGCAGCTGGTCCTGGCCACGGCAATAGAGATTTGCGTCTGAGCTGCCCCCCTGCCCAATGCCAGTCCCCCCTTCAAGGGCTCCTCTGTGGCAACTCCTAGGGAGGGCTCCTCACCCCAGCGCTTGCACCCATGAGGCTAGCGAGAACCTCCCCAGACCCAGTGGGTGAGGGGGACATAAGGGGACGGGGGACTCAGGGTGGGGACCTGCTAAAGGAACTAGGAGTCACTATTCCCAAAGCAAAAAAGAAACACGGTTAGACAATAGTAATATCGTAGTACTAGCCTGAGTAGCTCTACAAGGATCAGTCAGGACAGAGATGGACGAATGCCCTGTTCAGATGATGGGGACCTGGGGAGGTCCCACAGCCCATATCCCTCCCCTCAAGGAGGAAGGCAGTTGGGTTGGGAACAGCAGGGCTGGGCTGCAGCAGTTCCACCAGGGCCTCGGGTAAGACATTAACCAAAAATCTGTCTGAGGGGCCAGGGAGGAGATAGGGTAGTGCCTGCCCCACCTGCCACTAAGATAGTGAGGGGCCTAGAGCCTAGAGCCCAGAACCTGCATCAAGAGGGACAGACTGCCAGAGCAGAACCAAGGTTTAGAGGTAGGATCTTGTGGGTCATAGGGTGGCTCTCAGGGGCATCATCCCCAGCCCAGGTAAGGGGGCAGGGCTGTCTGCAATCTGCTTTCTCCACCCGTTTCCCACCCACCCCCAGTTCCTTCCACTGGTCTTAACCAATTTCACTGGACCATCTGAAGGCTTTCAGTCTATCCTAGCCACTCTGTCCCATACCTGGCCTTTCTCCTTCCCCTTGTCTCTTTCCTACCCTCTCCCTCTATTAGCCCAGACTCTGCCTCCTTTTTCTTGGGTACCAGCCTCTCCTCAAACCCTTCGTTTTGCCTTTCCCTTCTCTTTGCCTTTGGGGAAGAGATAGGGCCAGGTTTTCCTTAGAGGGCGGGGAGAGAGAAGGGGCTGTTGATCCCCAAGTCTTGGTGGAGGCCCCAGGATCAGAGAAAGCTCTCATTGATGAAGACAGCAGGGAGATCCAAGGTTCTGGGCCACATAGAAAGAGGATCAGGGGAGCAACCACGGTAACTCTAACCCCTGGTCCCGAGCCCTACATGCTCCAGAACTGTGAGCAGGGCAGGCCCCAGGACAGGCAAGGAGAAGACTGGGACCAGGAGAAAGGAAGGAAGGACACGGATAAACTGACCCAGCTACCTGAAAAATGTAGCAAATGTGTAGTGTGTGTACGTGAGTGTGTGTGTGTATGTGTGTGTGTCTCCCGGACATAGAACATAGAATGTCAAAGCTAGAAAAGACCTTAAGAGTTCATTTAGTCATAGGATCTTAGATTTAGCACTGAAAGGGACCTCTTATTTTACAGATGGGAAATAAGGCCCAGAAAGGGGACGCCCAAAGTTACACTGCAAGTCAATGTCAGAGCTAAGACTCAAACCCATGTCTCCCCAAGAGGGGTGATGGGTCCCCTGAAGGAAGGGGGGTCTTGTCACACATGACAGACCTATGGCCCACTTTGTCATGTCTGTCCTGTCATTTCTGCCATCTGCCTGGGATACTTGGCAGGGGGGATATGGCCAGAATTCAGGAGTTAGGGGGTAGGACTGAGGCCCTCATATTGAGGTACTGAGAGATGGTGCCTCAATGCAAGGAAAGGAAAGAGAGCAGGGTGAGGATATATCTAGTCCAAACTCATCTAAATTCTTACACCTGGGTCATTAGGCCCTCCTTCTGAGTCTCCTTTGAGTTAGAGAAGGAAGGGAATCCCCAATATTGGACTGGGGGAGAGAATACCTCCTTTCCCCTTTCTATTCCCCCCAACCTAAACAAGGATAGGGAGTACTCTTTGAAGATATCAGTAAAGAATGATCTTCTTAGGAGGAATCCTGACAGAGGCCCAATAAGCAATTGATGGCCAGCCTCAGTGGCCTGGGGACAAACAATGGCTGGGGGCAGAACTTCCCTATCCTGGGCTGGGATGAAGAGTTCTTTGGAAGCCTGACCAGGCCTGGGGGGAGGGGAGCGGCCAGGAAGCTGAGTGCCAGATATTGTGCAGAAGGACCATGTGGGGACGCTAGTACAGGGGTAGAGTGTGACTCTAGCCATGCAGCCATGGGCTCCAGTCCCTGAGCCCGTCTAGGGGAAAAGGCTCCTCCTGTACCACCCCAGGGAAATTCAGGATTTTGTGCGGCAAGGGCCATCACCACCCTGTGACGGGGCAAAGGCCTTGGTCCTATCAGAACTGAAAACTCAAATCTAGAAGGGACCTCTAGTTAAATAAATGCCTTCATTTTGCAGAAGAGATGGAGGTAGCTGTCTGCCCGAGGTCTGTATTCAGTTAGTTACAGAGCCAGGACTCAGATCCTGACCTTCTGGCTTCCAGGCCTGGGCTCTCACCAAAATGACTATCAACAGGGTGGTGGCAGGGCCCTAGGATTGAGGAAGGACCCAGGGCAGAAGCAGCCCTGATGGAGGATTCCTCGACCTTTTCCCTCCCCTGCAAGGGGGTTGGTGCCAGAAATTGCTCAGTAACTTCGGGCTGGGATCTGACTTACCAGCTGTGGTGCCCTAGGTCAGTCAGGTAACACCTACTGGGAGGAACTTGAGGGAGGGAGCTGTGTAAGGGACAGTGGGGACAAGTGTGAGTGGGTGAATGAAGGTATGAATCCCCTGCCTCACCCAAAGGTGAGTCTCCTCAACTGGCCCCTTGTAAAAGGGGGGAACAGGACTCATAGGTCACACCAGTCTCCACCAAAGCCCTCAGGGAACCAGGCAAGGATCCTTGGGTGAGGGCCTGGTGGTGCAATGGAAATACACTACGAGTAGGCAGCTTCCTGCCAGTCTAAGGGGAAGACCAAGGAAATGAGAGTGGGGGCCTGCCCCCACCAGGAACCCCTCTTTCCCAAGCTCCCCACCACCCCTGGCTCTTCAGGGGACTCTCAGCAATAACCTCATATCTGGTGGGGCCAGGGAACCTAGGGGCATCAGACCCAAATGGCTCCCCATCCTCCAGCCCCTCCCTCCCAGCCAAGGCCTCCTGTTCCTCCCCACCCCACCACAGCCTCCACTGAGGGAGGAGGCTCCAGGGACCCCTTGCAAGCCCAGATGACCTGGTCAACACCTCACCCTCAGGGTTGGGGGTCTCTCATCCCCATCAATCCAGAAAAGGGTAGGCACTGGCAGCCCCCCACTCTTTCCATCAGGGCCTGAGCCCCTCTGTATCCAGCACTCAGGGGAGGGATGGGGGGGTACGCTTTGGGGAGCGGCACCCTGCCTGTCTGGCCCCACCCAACGTCCTTGAGTGGGATGGGCCCCCAGGTAGTACCTGGGAGTGGAGTGCCACACACACCCATCCTGCAACAAGCAACAACCCCCAATCCCCTCCCCACAAATCACACAAAAGGGCTATTGACTCCTCACCCCAGACCTAGGCACAGTTTACAGCCAAGCCGACCCTGCATTGGCCTCAGCCTCTTTCCATTCTCTTCAAAGAGGGGCAAAAGATCTTGGACACTTTCAGCGCAGAGTCCTCGTCTGGCTCAAAGCTGGAGAGGGGAGAAGGAAGGGGAGGGCAGGGAAGGGCCGCAGGCCTACCCCAACCAAGATTCTGACGGCGTCCCCTCAAGGGGCTTGCCCTTCTCCAGCAGGCGTTGGTGCCCTCTGGAGACGTGCTTGGGAAGTAGTAAGTGCCCCTGTCCTTCCCTAGACCCGTCTCAGTGGAGATCTCTGCCTCCCCATCCCCTTCCCTCGGGCAGTCAGCCTCCTTGTCCCAGCAGGGCAAGCCCCAGGCCGTAGCCGGGCCCTGAGACCGCCGGTGCCCAATCCTGAACTCTTCATCGTTGACTCCTCCTTTTGCCTTAGGCCTCCTCAAAGTCCTGATCTCTCTCGTGCAATAATGCTGAAGCGAGACTCCGCCGTAGACAAACTCCTCAAAACTCTTTTTTTTAAAGATCCTGTTGAGGTTTCTCTCTCGTAGAATCATAGATTGTTAGAATGGGAAGAGGACCGTATGTACCATCTACTCCAACCCCCTCATTTTACCAATGATGATGCTGAGGTCCAGAGAGGGGAAGTGACCTCCCCTAGGTCACACAGCAAGTTTGTGACAGAGCTGGGACTCAGACCACGGTCTTCTGATTCATGGTCAGTCCTGGGTTCTTCACCCTACACCTCGCTGCCTTCTCTGGCCATCAGGTTGGGACCCTTTGCCCCATAAGAGAGGTTTTGGTCACAGATGTTTACCTCAGTTTATGTCACTGTCAAAGAAACAAAAATATACATATATAGCAAAAAAAAAAATGATAGATGTGAAAACTGTAAAACAACACAAAATTTCCCTAGTGATTATTTCTGTTGTGAAGGTGCAGTGTGTGTTTCCCGGGCTGGGCAGGAATATCCACCTATTCTGCCTGGCCTTGCTTCCTGTCTTCACTCTGTCAAATACCCCCAGACCATGCCCACACCTTTCTTTGGACTGATCAGGGACTGAAGGGTAAATCAAATCTCCTTCCTCCTATAGTGAAATCTCCCTGTGAACTGGTGCTTCTCCATTTTTCACCCAGTAGTTGTGCACTAGGGTAGAGTGGGAGGGTTGGGAGGAAGAACCTTTGTGGTTTCCCAGGCTGGAGTGTGGCGGGAGCTCCAAGAAGAAAAGGGGCCTAGTGCCAACCCACTGGTGACATCCTCCTGGCCAGACCCTACAACCCAGAGCAACTGGGAATCTGGAAGCTGAGCCAGAAAATAGAACATAAGTGAGGTGGATGGGGAAGGTCTTCAAGAATGGAGGTTGGGTGCTTGGTCTGCTCCCATTGGCCAGGCCAGGCAGCAGGCCCTAAGCCTGAGCTCAGGAATGCCTGGGCCTCAGTCCTGTTTAGCCCCGCCACCGCCACCTCCCAAGCTCTGGCCCCTCTCCTCTATATTCTCTGGGCTAGGTGGATCCAAATTGGGAGAAGCCCCCAGTTAGTCTCTCCCAGGATACCCAGAGCCCCAGCCTGCAGCACCCCTCTGGGCCTTCCTCACTTCCACCAATGCCCTGAGTTGGTCATCAAACACTATGCTCAGTGGGGGAATCCCTGGGGCTTCCTCCCTGGCCAGATCTGGTTGGGCTATGAATTTGGGGGTGAAAATGTATGTGTGCTCTCCCTGCACTGAGCCTGGGATGGGAGACCAGAGTTGATCTGCAGAAAAACTACCACTACCCTGCAGACCCATTCCTCTCTCTGGAGACCTCATCGTCTTGTCTTCCTCTACCCCACCCAAATGTTTGTAAATACTTTGGAATCCTTTGCCCCTATAAGAAGGAGGTTTTTAAATGTGTTATTTACTTCTATATTAATGACAATTGCTATAAAATAAAGGATTAAAAAAAGAGTGAGTCTCCTGTCGGGCTTCCGAAGGGACGGGATTGGATTGTGGGCATTGTGAGGCTTTGAGGGGATGGCCTTGGTGGGAAGAAATTGACATTCCCATGATCATAGTATACATACTGCCTTCAATGGCCAGTATCTCGGTGTCTATGGGTCAGTTGAGGACAGACTCAGAGGCCAACCTCTTAGCAATAATAACATCCTGGCTCATTCCCCCATTCAGAGTCTCTAGGAAATATGAATTTGGCTCATTTTGAGGGTATTCAACGCAGCCTTCCTGCTAGTGGCCAGGGCATTCAGTGAAGAGGGCATAAATGAGACACAGACCAGAGTCCAGAAGCAAGGAAAAAGCTCAGCATCCTATGTCTTCTCCCCCTGCTACACAGCCATTCAGGTCACAACTTCTGCTGATCCCACCTGATCTGAAGAAGCCTCAGACACCAGTGTAAGGCAAGCCAAGCAGCTGATGCCTCTTCCTCTGATCCTTGAGTCCTGCCTTAGATGCTCTGAATGGCCAGCTCTTCTCCAGCCCAATCTTTCGCGGTGTCCCTGCGTGGCACGGCATTCTGAGAAATGAAGTCTTCCTCTGATCATCTTTTTATGCTGGGTTGTTGTTGTTCAGTTGTTTTTCAGCCGTGTCCATATCTTTGTGACCCCATTTGGGGTTTTCCTGGCAGAGATACTGTAGTGGTTTGCCATTTCCTTCTCCAGCTCATGACAGAAGAAGAAACTGAGGCAAACAGGGTGAAGTGATTTGCCTAGGATCACACAGCTAGTAAGTGTCTGAGGGCAGATTTGAACTCAGGAAGGGGTTGCCACTTAGCTGCCCTGTATGCTAAGCGAGCTGCTCGGGGGCATTTGGCAGGAATCCCTTCTGCGGAAGAAGTTACCAATCTCTTACATTTATGGGACTTAGAGCTGTGTTGGGCA